CCTTTCCTGGATCTCGCTCTGTAGACCAGGCTGGCCTTGAACTCACAGAGATCCGCCTGGCTCTGCCTCCCGAGTGCTGGGATTAAAGGCGTGAGCCACCACCGCCTGGCCTTGCTTTGTTTTTCAAGAAAGATTTTACAGGGCTTCTTGCCTCTCATCAGAAGGGTAGTGTAGTGAGCATTGAGCATTTTCCTCTTTGTCCTCGGAGCAGACAGACATTCCGGTGTCTTCATGCTTCAGGATACCTGCAAGTATCTTGAGATGAGGAAATGGGGGAGGGGCTGGGAAGGATGGGTAGTCTTGAATCGCTTCCTTGGCTCTGTTGCTGTTTTCACAAGGTCTTAACTCGTTAGAGAAGGACAGCCACTTTTATTTCCCGTGAGTGTCTGGATGTGACCCGAGAGCTCTCAGGGCTAATGTCCCTGTTCGCTGTCAGATTCAGCTTGCTCTTTGGTAACAGGGAACAGGTTTCCATCCAAGATGAAAGCAAAAAAGGTCAGTGTGCTGCAGATTTAGAGCTCCGTGTCTTTGGAGTGTCTAGCAAGCCCTATCACAGTCACTTCAGGATATACCATGCCACCCTACTGAAACAATAGGAAAAGGCATCGCTCTGAATATCATCCTCCAATTTGGACAAATTCTGACAATAACAAAAATGTTTACCAATATCGGATTTCAGCCAGGGCGAGTAGTAAATATTCTAACATCTCTGGCCGTATTAGAAGCTTTCTCTCCCTTCCTCTTTCTGTCTCCCCTCAACCAACCTCTTGTCAAGGAACTCCACACGAAATGGTAAACTTTTAACTACCGCCAAGTCCCCAGCAGAGAGTGAAAACAGATGGGGCCCACCCGAGGTCTACAACCAGTCCTGAATGTAGGCAAAAGAAGGGCAACCAGCCCTCTGGCGGCAGGCAGTCTTGGGCACACTGATGGTATGGGTACAACCCGTGGATCTCTCTGGCCTTATTTTGGCTCCTTACTTTTTAGCTGTGAGCCCGCACTTGGAAAGCGACCTCTGTCCCGAAGGAGAGGATTAATAACTAATGCTGTAACAGTGTCACAGGACAGTAAACAATTAAAACGTTTCCAGGAAATCACACGCCGTGAGCGCAATAGTCTGGGCACTGCCCAGGACTCTGTCGAGGAGCCATCTGCAGGGCAGCATCAAGTTCACACCTTTACTGACTCTGCTGTGAATGTGGCAACTCTACAGGAGAAGAGAAGCTGAGTTCTCTCTGCCTGGTTATGGCTAAACCATAAACCAACTCAGGTCCTTTTCACCAATCCCTGCCTATTTGGTAAAGCAGCAAGCCGTAGAGTTCAGATTCTGGTTACAGTGGATTTGCCGACATAACCAAGCTGTCAGTCCTGTCATACCAACAGCGGGCCCTCAGGTCGGGTTTCTTTTAGATAACTTTCTGTGATGTGATCTCCCTTTTTAGTGTTGGGGACCAAAGCCAGAGCCTTGAGTTTGACAGGCAAGCACTCCACCCCTGAGATAAATTCCCCACATGACAGAACAAGTTTTTGAAATTTGCTTTGAGACTGAAACTTAAAAATTTGCACATATTTATGGAGTTCCACGAACTGTTTTGATAAGTGGATACGTTGTGTAATGTTTAAATCAGACTAGACACATCTATCTCTTCAAATATTTATTTATCCTTTATGGTGAAATAGTAAAAACACCTTCTCTTAGCTTTTTGAAACACACAAGTCCTTGTTGATACCTGTGGTCACCCTTTGTGGAGCCCTTTTGTGGGCCACACTACACAAAGCTTCTTGTTCCTGAGTGTAACTTAATCTGCTGTGAGCAACCATTCTTCACCTCCCTAACAGAACTAATTGTGAAGAACATTATCTACTGGAAATCTGAATTTGGAAGACAAAAAAAAAAAAGACTTGTACCTTTTTTGCAAGCCAAGTCCCCACAGAAAGGGATCTGAGACACCAATGTCTGTCTGCTTTTCCACTGCCTTTAGTCAGAGCCAAGGACTTCCTGATAGAAGTTCTAGAATGAGAGATGTATCCGAGGCCAATGGTTGAAGTGGCCCCAGCCTGGGCCCCAAAAACTAGAGTGGAAATTTTGCCCCTTTAAGGTCTTGCATGAGTCTGAAAGGAAACCCGAACGATCAACCAGAGCAAGGCAAGTGAGTTTAAGTTTTCCATAAGCCTGCTGCTGTAGCTCCGTGGTTGAGTGTTGGTCTAACATGTATGAGGCCTCAGGTTCAAATTCTAGTACTGCATCATAAAGACTTCACACATATGTGTAATTAGATGTGCCCACTTTTTTTTTTTTTTTTTTTCGTTTTTCGAGACAGGGTTTCTCTGTGTAGCTTTGCGCCTTTCCTGGGACTCGCTTGGTAGCCCAGGCTGGCCTCGAACTCACAGAGATCCACCTGGCTCTGCCTCCCGAGTGCTGGGATTAAAGGCGTGCGCCACCACCGCCCGGCCAGATGTGCTCACTTATAAAAATAACATTTTAACTTATTATTGTATGATCACATTGTGTGTGTGTGTGTGTGTGTGTGTGTGTGTGTGTGTGTGTGTGTGTGTGTGTAGGTCAGAGGACAATTTTGTGCATTCAGTTCTCTTCTTCCTTGGGGTTCTGGGGCTTGAACACAGGTTGCAAACTTATGTGGCAAGTGCCTTTACCCACTGAGACATCTCACTGGCCTGGATATGTGCACTTTCATGTAGGATTGATGGAGAGTGAGGAGTAGTTGGGAGGGGATACGGATCGTATGAGAGTACGAACTAGTGTTGGTTAAGTGGGAATTTGACTCTTTGGCTGGTCTCCTGTGTCCTGTATCTCTTTTCTCCAGGCTGGCTGTTTTGTCCTGCTTCAGGGGAGAAGAGGGGCAGTGGTTTGGCATACGTTTCCTATGTCTGCTGATTTCTCCATTGCCAGAGTGTCACCTGTAGATGCAAAGCCTGAAACACTGTGAATTAAAAACAATAACTATGACAGCAAAAACATCAACTGAAAACAGTATCATGAAATTGATAGTAAGTCATCATCAGAGGTAAAGTGCTATGAGCATGTGGGACCACCTTTTCCTTGTCTTTCCTCATTTTAAAAAGGAAGAGGAGGATCTGGCTCGGTGACAGAGCATTTGCTTGCCATGCTCATGTCTCTGAGTCCCTTCAGGAGTCTAACACAAAGGAAAAGAAAAAAGGGGCGGGGGGAGCTGTGAGGGAGGTGGAAAAAATCACAAACAATAGCAGGGTGGTGGTGGTGCACATCTTTAATCCCAGCACTTGTGAACAGAAGCAAATGGATTTCTGAGGCCAGCCTGGTCTACAGAGTGAGTTCCAGGACAGTCAGGACTACACAGAGAAACTCTGCCTCAAAAAAAACCAACCAACGAACGAAAACCACAAACAATGTTAACTAGGCCAAGGAAAAGTTGAAAGTAAATGAAAGTGAGTTGAAAGTAATTATTGAGAGAAATCAGTAACGCTAATGACAAAACCAACCTGCCAGCTCTTCATAGGCTGGGCAGTAGTTCTTTGAAAGGAAAAGTTGCTTGATCTTTGGTGCCGAAGTTCTGAAGGCAAGAACACAAATGGTTGCTATTAACATGGCCTTGGGGAGGAAGGAAGAGCGAAACTGATGTTGAGTTTCCAATATTGCTCTGTCTTCTCTGATATTCTGGAAAGGAAGGGAGGTAAGGAGGGGCTCTAGAAATCTACATCTCCCTCCCCACAGAATGCCTTTCCTGTTATTTTCATTTGGCCCCAAGGCTTTGGAGGGATCAATACAGATACTTTCTAGGGAAGGGAATAAGACAGGAACATGTGCCCTGGCGGAGCTGCTTAGAATATTGAATAGTTTTTGACATAGCTTGATGCAGAGGCGAGGTCCAATTCTCCAAGGACAGAATTGCTACTGTAGTTTGCTGCTCCAGGGGAAAAGCAAGTAAATGAAGCCGGGAGGAGAAGGAATGGAGCCTTTACTCCTCCCACCTCCAAGTTCACAAATAGGATGGCGAGCTGAGAATGCAGGAGCCCAAGGAAAGCACTTTGCGGTGATGAAAACTATTTCCTACCCCATCATCACTGCGGCAGAGGGCAGTGAAAATGCCTCTGCCTCTATTTTAAATCAAAAGTCATTCTTCGGGGCGGCACTTGCTTTCTTTCGTGTTTCATTTGATGGCTGCACTGCTGACATGGATTCGCAATGGTTACTAAAATATTCACTTGCAAAGAGCCAGTGTGAAGCAGTTTCACACACCACTCCTCTTACTCATCTGGATTAACCTTTCTCGGGAAATCGCAGCATTGTAAACACCCCTCAGCGTTAAATAAAACACAGCGGTGTGCAGCTTTAAATGATTGCTTCAGCTTTTTTTCTGGCCCCACGCGTGACTTGTTTTATTTAGCAGTTTCCGCTTTCCCCACTGTTTAGCAATCAGGCACCGCTGAACGCTTTGTTCCTACTTCTCTTCCCTGGTTTAATGAGGTATGAGATAAAACACTCAGGCCTCCCATTCTTTCCCCCCTTGGCAGATCAAGTCTTGAATAAGAATCAAATTTGGAAGGTCAGTGTTCAAAGGTTACTGCTGAGTCTACTTAGTGTCAAGAAAATACAGACCGTTGCAAAGAGAGGCAAGAAGACAAGTCAAGATTGGTTAAGAAACTTGTAGATATTAATGCAACATTGTGGCTGAGAATTCAAATTCATAAAAGTCAAGAGAGTCAAAATTATGATCCTCCCAGCTCTCCTTATTCCTTCCGCACACACGCCAGTATTTTATGTACTATATTTGCTGTTATATTTATGCCCTTATATAGAATATGCCAACTTATAGTTGCTAGGGGAAGCATAACTTTCCATTTCAAACTTTGCTGCATTCTCATTTTTCAGTACAATTAGCAGGAGGACTTTGCCCTTCACTTTCCTCTCCTTTGATTACTTAAGGAAAATTAAACGAGGTGACTGTGTACCGCCTTGTTTTATCTGCTCACTGATCTTTGGAACTTATTATGTATTTCAGGCTGTAAAGACTACAGAAAAATTCCTTTGTTTGGGAGAGGAGCTTAATGCCCTTTGCAGATCCAGGACACCCATCCAGACAGCCTTTGTGGAGAAAGCAGACAGGCATGTACTGGATCTCTTCAGGGTTCTGATGCCCTACTCCAGTGACACCCACAGCTGGATATACATTGTTTTACAGTCATAAGATTTGAGGATAAGAATAGTAACCACAACAAAATAAAATAGTGATATGGGTCTGTGTAACTTCACAGGTGTGAAAAGAGTCTGAACAGAAAAGACTTGTTCACCGGACTGAAGGCTGCTCCAGCTCCATAACAGCCAATACTTGAGACTTCTTAGTGCAGAGCATCCAGGCTATCTGCTCCACTCCACACCTGGGGACTGCAGTGCATTTAGAGACAAGGGTTTGCTCAGAGTCATTCCCAGACTCTATTTATTTAGAATGATTTCAGCTGGTAGTAATTTGTGATGGAAGGAGTCTGGGAGTCAGAGGGATTGCATTTCTAGCTTGATGCTGACGTGAATGGGTTGCCTGGGGAAGGACTTAACCTCTGCATCCTGCTCTCTTAACTGGCTAGACCACTGCATATTTTCAGAAGACTGTGTGAAAATTAACTGAGTAATTTGTGTAACTCCATATATCCGATGAGTATCTTTATATTGTTACATTGCTTAGAAACAATATATATATATATATATATATGTATGTGTGTAGGTATATATATATGTTTTTATTGTATATAATTTAATATATAATAAGATATAGTTATAAATAGTATTGCTTATATTATACCTTATAAATATCTCTCCTTTTTGTGCCTTTGATTATGATGTCAACTAATATTTAGTTTTGTTTTAAATATAGTTTCTATACTTTACAAATTGATCTCTTTCAGTACTTGCATTTCACTAAGCCTCAAAATGCAGATTAATTATTTCTTCATACTTAGAAAACATTTCTACTTGGTTGGAGAATATGTCTTGGTAGCTTGCAAGTTGTTTATTCTCTTTCATTTGTTATTTTGTTCACTACTTGGTAAGTATTTATCGAGCACTTACTCGAGGAGCCAAGGGTATTTAGAACATGTATGGGACTTGAGGATACAGAAGTGAGGAAGACAGAGTGAAAGCTTCCTACAAGATTAAAGCATTGAATGCTGCCACGAGGGCCCTCCAGCGGAGCAACAGTGGAACCAGACGTGTAGTTTATAATCTTCTTGTAGCCATATTATAACAATAAAGGGAGATGAAGCTAATGTTGACAGCACATTTTACCCCAGTAGTCATAAAAATTTATTATCTCGCATTTTATTCAAAGTATCAATGAGATAATTTGCATTCTACTTTTATATACTGTCTTTAAACTCTGGTATATATTTTGCAGTGATTGCACATGTAAATTCTGACTAGCCACATCCATATCGTCGATAGTGGGCATAGCTGCTGCCTGCCATCCTGAACAGGATGACTCCTTTAAGGTAAGCAGCTCATGCCAAACACTGTAGCAAATGGACGTTTAATAGCATTTAAAGAAATAAGGGATCGTATTTCCTTCAGCCCTTAGTTAAGTGGCCCTGGATATTTTCAATACATTCTAGTATCCCAACGGTATCCATTAGTATTAAGAAGAAATTGTTTAAATCAATGGTTCTTCATGGGGATGTTAGAATTAATTAGTACAGTGCAAAAGGCATTTCAGTTGAGGTAGTCTTGGGGAACTGATGTGTTCCTACCTCTGATGACTTCTGCTCTAGATTTTTAAAGAAAGTCTGAATTTTAGATTTTAGAGTGTAATTGAATCAGAAATAAATTTTCAGAGTCTAAATTGGGATGGCTTTAAAAAAAAAGAAATTAACATAGAAGCACATAGGATCAGTGTTAAAAATGTACACAAAAGCAAGAGAGCCTGGAGTGAGGAATGCTTTGCTTTCCAGGCACCCTCATTGCCCCTGATCCAGGGAGCTCTGAACTGCACCTATAACAGCCTGAGCGCTGCTGCACTGCAGCCCCGGAAGGCTTTCTGCGCACAGGGCTGAATAGTATCTTATATTTCAAGGTGAGTCCGGTTCCCATGGTAATATACAAGTGTGCTGCAAGTCAAGCATTTAAAAACCCTGAAATGAAGTCCAAGGAAACAGGCAAATGGAAGTCCAAATAGAAGCAAGCGACCTCACAGAGGCCAAGAGGACATGCACAGAAAGAGCACAGGCATTGAAACAAGGTGTGAAATCTTCATTTGTAGTTTTTCTTCCTGGAGGAGTTACCAAGGATTGTGGCTGCTGCATCTGCCACTCGTGGGGTGTGGGTTAACACACACACACATACATACAAAAAAAAATTAGGGGAATTTAAGTTTCTTTGCTTGTCTCCTTCTTAGTAAAATGTTCCGATTCCCATCACAAGAAGAGCGAATGTTCTCTCCTTCTCTGCTTTGACCCAGACCATGAGTATCTAGCTTGCTTGCAGTTAAAACAGCAGTTGACTTGTGTGGGCAGCCCTAAACTTATAGAGTTTCTAGGGTTCCTTCTTAGGACATCAACTGCCACACTTTTTTCCTCAATTGTGTAGCAGTTCCACACTTTGGTAGGTGGGAAGGACTCGTCCCTGGAGACTGTGAGAGGATATGTGTACAGTTTTATGAGAGTATCTTCTCTTTTATTGTTGAGTGGTGGGGGATGCACTAAAACTTGCCAGAGTAAATGTGTGTAATAAATCTGCGACGGAGAGGGGTAAGGGTCTGAAGGAAAAATGCACTGCTGCCATCATTTCAACTACGGCCATTCCCTCTAAGAAATGTGAAATCAAAAGAAGGGAAAGGCGAGCTAAAATTAACTTTAAGTCCCAGAAGCTGACAAGCAGCTACCATGATTTAGAGCCGAGTCACATCAAGTCCAGCGCTGAAATGAGAAACATGGAGGACAGGCGTTTTTATGTCGGCTGTAATTGGACAAGTGAAGAAAATGATTTGTTGAAGGTGAGATGCTAATGACAACAAGGCAATGTCAGAAGCCCCGAGCTGGAGGGAAAAGCACAGAGACAGAGCATATCGTGCCCAGCTTGAGTTTATGAGGAAAAAGATTTTGTGCCAGAGGGAGAATTTTTTGGGAGCACAAAAATGTAAATGTGGAGACTTATGTCTCTGGCTGGCTTCCTATTCGGATTGGGTGGTCTCTCCATGCAGGATAACCGTGGGCTTTCACTGAATGTACCCTCCCCCCCCCCCCCAGCCCCCACCCCGCAGCCTGCACTGCTGTTCCAGGTGGTATTTTAAAACTTCCTGTTTTCAATTATGGTAGCATACGTAAGTGCTGCTGGATTGGAGAGAACTCTGTGCTTGAAAAAGAACCAATTTGTTGTAGTGGCATTTTTTTTTTTTAGTCATCATTTGGTCACATTGTATTCCTCATCCTTCCAGATGGCCTCCAGTTCTGGACCTCCATGGTTAACACAATGTATCCCACCCCATTCACATCTGCCTAGGCAGCCAACCCCTCCATCTCTCAGGGTTCATTTCCTCTGTTACCTAACCTTGGGGATGAAGTACTATTTTTTTTCCTCTTTGGATTGATTCTTTTGTCAAAATAATGGCCAAAGAGCTTTTATTTATTTATTTGAGAGACTGTGAGAACACAAAGTTGGGAGGCTAGAAGGCTTTGTAGGGGTGGGGTTGAGGGTGTGTGTGTGTGTGGGGGGGAAGAATATGTTCAAAGTAATTGTATGAAGTTCTCAAATAAATAAGACACAAAAAATTCCTTAAAAAATCAAATAACGAGAGAATAGAAAAACCTGATATTTATTTATATATATATATATAAAATGTTGAATATCTCTCCCTACAAAGACCCATGTGTTGAAGGCTGGTTCCTGACTGGCACGGTTGACAGGGGGTAGAACTTGAAGAGGTGGATATGTTAAGAGGAGGCCATACCCACTAATGGGGTTAGTGACACCCTGCCTTGGTGTTTTCCTTTCTTGCATCCCAGGCAAGAGGTGAGTGCACACTCCTGCCGTGAGATGCTGCACAGCCCCATGACCACAGGCCTAAAAGCCATAGATCTGCTCAGTCAGGGACTAGAATCGCTAGAGCGAATAAGTGAAATGGTTGCTGTGTAGAATTTAGTTACCTTGTGCATCTATGTTTTATTTTTAACTATTCATTTTATATTTTAATTATGTGTATATGTGCATATAATTATTCTAGAGACCAAACTCCCATCCCCTGCAAGCAGAGTAAGTGATTAAGATCACTGCAACATCTTTCCAGTCCTTACATGGTTGTTATGGTGATTCAAAGCCGATACCTGACACTAAATTTAAAAAAAAAATGTTTATTTTGTGAGAATTTCATATATAAGTATAATTATATATATTTATAACTTATATTCTATTTTAATTATATAATTTATAACTATATAGTGATACCTATGTAATATAATCATATCTCTCCTTTCCCCACTCTCTTCCCCAACTCCTCCCCAAACCCACCTCCTCACATTTCACTTTCCAACTTTATGTCCTCCTCGTCTTCAGTTCTTTTTCGGTAACCCACTGAGTCTAGTGCTGCCCATACACACACACACACCCACACACACACACACACGGGTGGAGGTCCATAGACTGGAGCATGGGCAACCTACCCAGGGCCTCACACATGAAGGTAACTGACTCCCGGCCCCCCCCAGCAACCGTTCATTGTTTCTAGCTCCTCAGCTAGGGTGGGCCCTCATGAGCCCCACCTCCTTCCATGTTGGGATGTTAACTGTCGTGATCTTGCGTAGATCTTACCCGTCAGTGTTGTGCAGTGGGCCTGTCTTGTCCAGAAGACATTGTTTCTCAGCAATCCTCCCTAACCTCTGCCTCTTATTGTGGGGTCCGAGGAAATGCTGAAGCAAGACCCCAGACTCAGATAGCTTGCAAGAACAAAGAGCATCTCTCATACCAGCATGCATGTGGGGTTGTTCACCTGTGCAAAATGGTAACCATCCCGACAGGACGTGCAGGCTCCTTTTAAGCACAGCTAAGGAGAAGTTTCAGGGCCACCAGCTACATAACTGGTTAAGCAAGCAGCAGTTACATTAATATATTTCTAACTGGCTGAGGTTTAGTTTTATCATTTTTGGACACATCCGCACAAGCTTGGATGTGACTCAGAAGGGGCTGTTGGGTTTGAGACTGACTTAGGCCCTCTGTGTTTGTTCTCCCTGGACCCTGAATGTGAGGGCCTTGTAGGTAAATGGCCCTTTGACGGGAAAGATACCTGCTTAGCCCTTCTTAGAGAGCTGCAATTTAAAATCAGTTGTAAAAAGTGGGAGAGTTTAATCCTTTCAATTACAGTCTTCTCTTACGTGGTTTTTCTTATTGGCTTCTCTTATGTGACGTTTCCTGAGCCATGGTTGGGGGAGGATGTGAAATAGATGTCCTACTTAGAGCTAAGTGCTCCACAGTCACTTTTTCTCTGCTGTTGTGGGTCTCTGCATTAACCTCTGGCCACTGCAAGAAAGAGCTTCTTGAGGTCTGAGAGCTGTACTAATCTGTAGTGTAAGGATAAGTATATAGAAGGCAGTTTGATACTATATTCATTTAGCAAAATAATAGTAATAGGTTCTCCTCCAAGACCTACAGCTTTCCCAGCCACCAACCA